CCCCCCCCCCCCCCCCCGGGCCACCCCGAACACCCACCAGCTCTCTGCACCCCAAGGGGTGGCTGCTGAATCTCGGGGGTCCCCTGGAGCCCCCGTCCCCGGTGCCCTGGGGCCACGCAGGGGCTGCTCAGCCCATGCCGGAGGGCAAGGGTGCCGGGAAGGGTTAAACCCAGCTGGCTGAATGTCATCCCCTGCACATGGCTTTGGTAATTCAGAGTAAATGTTTCATCTGAAGGAGCCCCGGGGCGGTAAATGAGATTAACCCGTCCAGACTGCGCCTCAGGGGGGACCTGCCTCACCTGCCAGCACCCTCCATTTAATTAATGCTCCTAATGGGCTTTGCCGGCAGCAAGCGACGGCAGCTGGGCCGCACTGAGAAGGCTCCTCTGCAGCTTGGGGGACCCCATCCCTGTCCCCGTCCCCGTCCCCGTGAGCCCCTGCCGGCCGGAGGTCCTGGCCATGGCCGGCTTCCAGGCAGTGCTGGATGCTGCTTGTTTTCTAATCAGCACTGAACAAACAAAGCGCTGATTGAGTCTAATGGGCCCTTTAATCAGGGAACCGGGTGCTGACACTAGATTACAGTGTTTATAATTTACAGCTAATCTGCTGGGTGAAGGGAAAGAAAAAAAAAAAACATAAAAAGGAGGGAAGGAGGGAGTGCGTGTGGAGCCTCGCCGGGAGCTGGGAGCACAGTGGCTGGCTGGGAGCCGCTCACCGTTCACCACCGTCCGCCGGGTGATCTCCCAGAGCACCAGCCCGTACGCCCAGATGTCCGTCTTCTTGTAGGACTCGAAGCAGTCGGTGCGGATCTGCTCACTGAGCACCTCCGGGGCCATGTAGCGCTTGGTGCCCACCCGGGGGTTGTTGCCGATGTCCAGGTAGTCGCTGCCCTGGGAGTGCATGACGGCCAGCCCTGGAGGGATGCCGGCCCTGGTCAGCACCATCCCAGTGCTGCATCCCCAGGACACTGCATCCCTGGGCTACCACATCCCTGGGGCACCGCATCCCTGGGGTACCGCATCCCTGGGGCACCACGTCCCTGGGGCACCGCGTCCCTGGGGCACCGCATCCCTGGGGTACCGCACCCCTGGGTGCTGCATCCCGCCCCCCATCTCACCCAGGTCCGCGATGCAGCACTGCCGGTTGCTTTTCACCAAGATGTTCCTGCTCTTTAGGTCGCGGTGGGCAATGGCAGGCTTGCCCTGGGTGCCGAAGATCTCCACGTGGAGGTGGACAAGGCCGCAGATGATGGAGGAGGCCAAGCCCAGGCAGGTCTCCACGTCCAGGGCCGTCCGCTGCAGGTAGTCGTAGAGTGAGCCATTCTCATGGTAGTGGGTGATGAGCCAGAGCTGGGTGCTGGAGTTCCTGGAGGTCATGTCGGAGGCGATGAAGCCTGGACGGGGAGAAGAGCTGGGAACGTGGAGCCACCGCGCAGCTGCCCCCCGGCCCCCCTGGCTCCCCACTCACCCAGGATGTTGTCGTGCCGGAGGAGGACGGTGTTGTAGATCTCCGTCTCGCGGAACCACGACTGCTCATCCCGGGAGGAGAAGATCTTCACGGCCACGCTCTCCCCGTGCCACATGCCTCGCCACACCTCGCCGTAGCGCCCTTTGCCTACCACGGCCATGGCACTGTGTCACGCAGCCCCTCCGGCCCCCGGCCCCCTCCCCACGCCCAGCGTGATGAACCCAGCTCCCGGTGTGGAACAGCGAGGGGGTGGTGCAGGGTCCCTTGACCTTGGCCAACTGCCACCCACCCACCCAGCTGCTCTCTGCTTCCCCCATCAGCAGGACAGGGGGAGAACTTGGGGTATCTATGGGGTTTTGGCTGAGAAGGTTGGGTCCAAACCCCCCCTCCCAGGTCTGGCATTGCAGTGCCATTGCCAGCTCCTGGGGGAAAGGGGTCCGGCACGTGCCCAGGCAGTGGCTGGGGGGGCTGGGGCAGCCTCCCCCCCCACCCGGCTGCTCTCCTTACCCACACACTCCACGAGGGTGATCTGCCGAGCCACTGTTCGCTGGAGGAGGAAGGGCAGCCCCGAGCCACTGCCCGTGGTGCAGTCGTCGTTCAGCAAGTCCTGTGCAGCCGGGGGGCAGCGGGGTCAGCCCGGCAGCTGCCCCACACTCGGCGTGTGCCCCCCTCCCACACCTCGGGGGCATTCGGGGTCCTCCCTGGAGCTCACCCACCTCTAAAGTGCTGTCTCCCACCATGGATGCCTTCAGCATGACGTCCATGTCTCCCAAGTCGCCTGTCTTGCGGCGGTGCTGGGCCACTTTCCAGCAGAAGAGCGCCGTGAGCGCTGCGAGGACGAGGAGGGCAAGCAGCGGGACGAAGATCATCAGGAGGAGGTTGGGCAGGGAAGGTGCCTTTCCCAGGGCCTCTTCTCCTGGTGGGGGAAACGATGGATGGGAGCATGAAGGTGATGCTTGGGCTTGGACCTGGGAGGGTGGAGGACTCGGTGCTTGAGCTTGGAGCCAGGAAAGGTGGAGGTTGTGGTGCTTGGGCTTGGACCTGGGGAGGGTGGCTCTGCCCCGGGGTCAAGCCCATGGATGGTGGCTCTGCAGGCGCAGCCCAAGAAGGGACAACCAAGGACATCTCGCTGGCCTTGTCCCACCTGGGAAAGGGTGACCCTGGAGCTGCCGAGTGAGGAGGGGAATGATCTGGAGACCCAACCACATCTCCAGCCACGTGAACAGCTCTGCCCCTCTCCCCTCTGGGTCCTGGGAGGGGATCGTGCCCCCGTACCTTGCAAGAAGATCTCCAGCTCTGCGTTGCACATGCTGGAGTGGCAGCATCTCATGCCGTACTGCTCCGTCACGGGCGTGCGGCAGTTCTCCAGGATGTTCTGGGAGAAGCAGCCCCTGTGCTGGGTGATGGTCCCTTCCTCCTTCCTCTTGCTGACGAAGCACACCTTGCCCGTGCAGGTGGGCAGGCTGCAGTGGGGCACATCGCAGGCGCACAGCAGCTCCTCTGCAGGCACGAGGAGGGGACATGTGCCATGGGGCCACCCCGCTGCCCGGCATGGGGCACGCTGGTGGCTTTGAGGATGGTGATATCTGTCCTAAAGACTCTTGAACCAAATTTCAAGAGCAGGCAGCCTGGGAACACCATGGTCTGGGCTGCGGACGGCGGCTGTGGGAGCTCAGCGCAGGGAAACCCATCCTGGAAAATCGCTTGCTCCCGGCTGGGACCCAAGAGCCAGCCCTGGAGCTGGGGGTCACCTGTCCCCACGCCCCCGGGAAGGCAGCAGAGGGGCCATGCATCCAGCCCCACCAGCTGGGATTAACTGGGATGCACTGGCTCCCCCCCCCAAGGGTCACATCCTGCCCAGGGGCCATGGGAGCACCTGATGCTGGGGCTGCCTGCAGGAACCAGGTCCTGGAATCCAGGATGGGACCAAAAGTCCCAAACTCAGCTGGTGCCTCCCCAGCGGGTGCCGTGGCGATGCTGCATTTTGGGAGCCGGGTGCCAAACCCGGAGATCTCCCTGGCCACCCCGAAGGTGCTTCCCCGCTCCCTGGTGGTGCTGGAGCAGCACAGGAGGTGGCCACGCTCCCAACCTCCCGATTTAGCTCTGCCCTTTTGCGCAGAAAATATCCCTCCTGGAATCAGTGAGTTCAGCGTGAGGGCAGCCAGACGGATGGCGGTGAGGGGACGGATGGACGGTGGCGAGGGGACGGATGGCTGTGGCCAGCCCCTCTCCTGCGCCCATCATCCCCCTGCCCCAAAGGCTGCCCGGTGCCAGGGCCATGGCGTGATGGCCCCATGGGCAGGACGGGGACCCGGCGGGGACTCTGCTGCTCCCCCCTGGCACAGCCGCGCTGCTTCCGTCATCCCTGCACAAGCACCCAGCCTGGATCCGTCCCCAGGTCACCCTGGTGCTCCCCTGGGATCACCAGCTGCTCATCCCCGCTCCCCACCATCACGCCGGGGAAAACCCCACATTTTAAAGCACGTGCATGCAAGCCTTTTCCCCATCTCCCCTCCAGTGGCGTCAAAACTCTTGATGAACTGTAATTAATTAAGCCCAGATCCTCTCTGGGAGGCAGGTCACCATCCCAGGGGGGAGAAGCCCCTTGCTGGGGACAGCGTGGGTCCCCGAGGAGCTCTGCCTCCCTCCGTGCTCGCTGAACAAGCTGCCCTCCCCGGCAGTTTATTTTGAGCTGAGCGAGTGATGACGTTCCCGAGGAGCTCAGGGTTTATTTTAACCCCCCACGCGTGGCAGAGAGCGCCCGGCGCCGAGCGCCTTCACCGCATCGTGTCGGTACTCACCGGCTGCGAAGCCGAAGGAGAGGATCAGCAGCGCCAGCA